GAATACTTAAATAAATAAATAAATAAATAAAGTCTAAATATTTTAATTTTTATAACTTTCCATTCATTAGTTGTAGGTATTTCACACATACCATACATGCATAATTACTATATACTACTATACAATACATACAGTGTCAACCATACACTACATGTTTGCTATATACCTGAAGAATATTTTATTTGATTAGAACAAGATCTACTACTTTTATCTATTTTTATTTATTTGTGTAATTGATTTTTGCCGATTAATTGGATTAAATAAAAATCGATTTAAAATTGTTACAATTAAACGATTTTAACTGAGTTTGAAAATTTTAATTGATTTTAGTTTCGATTTTCGATCTTGGCGATTTTCGCAGTTTCGATTCCAATCCCTACGCGTTGCCAAAGTGGCGTGTGAAATGATGATGATCTGGGAACCTACAAAATACTAGTTTCTGGTTCTGGGAACCTAAAGGAGGTGAAAAATTGGTAGGTTGTTATGTAAGAATTTATAGCTACCCAGTGAGTCCCCTAATGTATTATTTGCATTATATGAGTATTGAAACTTCATTCGCCTATGAAATGTAACCCAGAGGTTGTAGAAACTCCAAACCAATTCGATCAGAAGCAGGACGGAGCTGGCTCATGCTTCAAATCAAGCCAAAGTTTGAAGAATTTTGATCACAGAAAGCCGAAATAGCCTTGACTGTTGGGAAGTTTTACTGTGCCACATCATGGGTTAGAAGTTAATTATCAAATCATAGATCGATTTTGCGAAATGTAATACTGTGGAACTGTCGCTTCTAGATGCTACAATCGTTAGAATCAAATATGGCAACTCTAATGTCTATTAATTTGCTGATTTTGATTCAGCCTTTTTTCTCATATTTATCCGAAAAAAAATAACCTATCAAGATACGCTATCTCCTAAAGGTCTTGACTGAGGGAGGCCAGATACTGGAGATATAATAGGACTCATCATTAGTGAGGTTTTTCTTTTGTATCTTCCATCATGATAATAATAATCATCATCATATCCATCATATCCACCGTATTCATTATCACACCCATCATCATCATCTGATCCATATGGTATCTTTTTTTCAGAATCACTGTCATGGTTACAGTCACTATCATCATTTATCACATCTGGTACTTTTGGAATCTCTTCATTCGCCTCTTTTACTTTCTCATTTTCAAAATAAAAATACATATCATCATCATTATCTGCCTTAGCAATTATTTCAGACTTTTTAGAACCCTTTTTAATCAAATCATTCACTTTTTCTTCTTCCTTAAAGTAATCTGTAATATCAGATGTGTTACTAAAATTATTATCTGAGTCATGAATTGAAGTAGTAGCTACTGTCTCAAAGATTTTATTTAAAGAACTAGTGGTTATTTTCGATTTGACATGTTCTATGATGTATTCAATTTAAGGATAAGTAAGTCTTGAAATTTTGTCAGCGCTACAGGTGATCTGTTGAACTATACCCCAGTATAGTGATGGCAAATTATAAGGTCTTTTGATTTGAAATTTATAATAATAATAAGGTTATTTGAGATTATTTGAGGTCATTTCAAGGTCATTTCAAGGTCTTTTGTCAATCCTGCCCTGGTATACCTTTAATCTTTTTCAGAGTTATAGGGTCATATTTATACCTAAATAACCTATTGATTTTTCTTGCTTTACAAGTCATTACTTGTAAATATTCAATTGAAACATCTGTAAGATAAAGCTTCATTTTATTATAGATCTACTTTCTTATAGTCTGATCTGTAAGTTTTTATCGTTTGACCTAAGCTTCACAACTTTATCTTCGAACCTTTTAGAGAATAAACACATAATGTAATCTCTGATCGCTTTACTACAATTGTTTTATTTCTTGCAACATTCGCCTGATAGAATGAATTAGCAAGTTTTTGGATGCTTATTAATCTGAGAACTATAGTTTGGGGAGAAAAAACTTTATAGTATAGAGTGGATCGTCAGATGAGAGTAGCTCTTTCAACAAATTTTTGTACAAATTCAGTTACTATACTCGAGAAAGCCTGAACATTTTCAATATTCTTAGTTGGTAGAATGTGATTCCTTTGAGATACTCTTGGTAAGTTATTAGAAGAATTTTCTTTTCCCGATCTTTCTGTCCCTATATTTCTATCTAACTCTGAGCAAATATTAGAAGGAGTATTGGCAATTTCTTCCTCTTGTTTTTTCTTTCATGTGATGATTTTGAATTTTCAGAAAACCTTTTAACTTTGTTAAAGGATTTTGTATCATGTGATAATTCAGAATTTTTAGAATACCTGTTAGCGGGTTTTATATTATACAGTCATACCTCTCTATAGCGAATTTTTATATAACGAATTTTTTGGACAACTATATTAAATTTACCCTCGTTATAACGAACTAGCCAATCAAATTCTTTAAAAAATTCACTATAGCTCTATAGCGAAGTTGAAGTTCAGGACATAAAATTCGTTATATCAAGGGTTGACTGTACGTCACTTTCAAATCTACTGTGAAAATTTCTTTCTGAAAAGTATCTGCAATGATCAATTGAGGAGCAACTATCACAGTTTCTGATACATAATCAGTATCAAAGATGCTATTCTGGTTAGCTGATTCACACTGGAATTTCTTTTTCCTATTATGTTGCCTAATATCTTTACTAACGCTTTTTTTATGTGTTACAACTAAGAAATTATCTATCTCTTTCTCCTGCAATAGTTTATCATGGTAGTCCACATCTGAATTGAAGTTAGATGATTTGTTGTTAAAAGTATTACTATTTTGTAACTGCTTCTGTCTTAATTCAATAACTTTATTAGTAATATCCATTTTATTTTCTCTAGATCCTCAATTTTAGAGTCACGTTTATTATTTTCTTCCATTATCTGCTTTATAAGCTGTGCATTTTTAGCCTCAAACTCAGCAATCTTCTTTTTAAGTTCGTGAATTTTGACATATCTAGCTTTAAATTCAGCAAGCTTCTTTCTAAGTTCAGAAATCTCAGAATTCTTGACCTCGAGCTCAACCTCAAGTTCAGTAATATGTTGCTTTAATAGATCTATTTCAGTTTGCAAATTTGAGAGAAAAATATTCAAATTTTAATAAAATCACTGAAAAAAATTAAAGTTGCGATAATCATGTAATAATATCCATAATTTCATTGGCTGTTCTTTATATGCATACTCTTCCTAAGTATACGAACATGATCGGTCCTGAAAGTATATACTTATGAAGAGTTCACTGTATTTTATACTATACAAATCTTTTTAATAAATTAAACTAAATTATTTAATAATTATTCTTAATTAACATATTAACACACTTTTCAAACTAAAAATTTCCAACTATATTTATATAAAATAAAATACATATCTATTAATGAAGTTAAATAAATAAACCTAATAAATAAACTTAATAAATAAACTTAATAAATAAAATAAATAAACAATATAAAATAATTAAAATAATTAAATAAAGAAATGATGTAAATTAAGTAAATTAATTAAACAATATAAATGATATCGACTTTATTTTATAAATCAAAAATTTAGTTAAGTTTAAATTATAGTAAAAATACTGAGATAATTTACATTCTATTGTATTTAAATAAAAAGTTTAAATACTGATAATCAATAAAAATAACATACTATCTAAAGATTAATTGTTTTTTTAAATAAAAAATTTATTTGAATTTAAATTACATTATAATAATAAAATTAAGTAATGTTTAAATTTTTATAAAGTATACAATAAATAATTAATAAATGTTAACTTATTAACTAAAATGCAATTAAAAAATCTCTTACTTATGGTATTATTGATCATTAGATAATATTAATTAAAATTTTAATTAAATTTTAATTGCATAAGTTAAAAATATATAACTTACAATCTAAGTTTTAATGATTATTAAATTTTTTTTTTTTTTTAAAAAAAAGAAATAAATAATTAAAATATTATTTGATATAACAAATATATAAATATTCATATAATTCTTTTAATGTAGATGCATCATCTTTAATCATGAGCATTCGAAATTGGTTAAAATTTTTGAAATTAATTATTAGGATTAAAACATAAAAAGAAACAATCACGTGATTAGGGTTTTATCACTAATCCTCTTAAACATTTTAGTTCTACAAACTAGTATTAAAATAAATTTTCTTACCATCTACTTCTGAATATTTTGAATAAAATTAAGTACAGTTAATAGATTATAATAATTATATTTCTATCTATATCGTATTACCTTTATCACTCGAAACTAATTATATAATATAATTAATGTAGATAACGAATTACAGTATTATTATATATTTAATAAGTTAAATTTGATAAATTTAATTTTTAGTAACGAATTATTATAAATGGTTAATAATATATGAAAGGAATATCCTCTATTTCTTCTAAAGAGGATATTATTTCCTTAGCATATAAAACTGGCTTTGTGAATTTATGGAAAAATATTTTTTTTTAAAAAATCATCAAATAAATTCATTCGAGTATGCCGAGCTTTTATTCCTTTTTTTTGTTTGATGAAAAGTTCTATTATACTTTTACCTTTATTGTTACTATCAGACATTATTATAAATTTGTAAAAATAAAAAATATAATGATAACAGAATATAATGGTGATACATATTGGAGATCTCGATATTTCTGTATATGTAAATGTACTGATAAATTTTTCAAGTCCCATTTCACAATTGATAAAAAAACATTATTACATATAGTTTCATGATACCAATATTTTTCTTTGTCCCTTTATAATTAACATATAGTAGGATGTAAATATTTTCATGTACCATAATCTCATGGATATATACAATTTCAGAATCAATAACTGTCAAAAGAGGAGCTGATATAAAGTGTAATCATATAAAATAATGTTCTAATCCGTTTTTGCAACTTTACCAATTTAAAAATGAAAATTTTGTATAATAACATTATATTAGCGAACCAATTGTTATATTACATAATCTTTGAATGAGATATCACGTGAAGAATACTTGAAAATTTTTTTGTATATATTTTAATTTTTTTTCCTTCATAAACATTTAATGAAATAAATTCATTATTTTGTTTTTTTCACATTCTTTATAAATTGTAAATTCTTATTTAATAACAAGAAGTTGTAAAACTTAAGCAATGCATAATTAGTCCGGAATCACTCGTCTTATAAAAAAATAGTTACAATTACTATTACGACATTTTTATGGTTCGAGAAGTCCTTAATACATATCATCATTTTATTACACTTAAATCTTAGAGTCAGGAAATGAAATCCCTTGATATTGCAATAAGGTGTAGTAGAATCATCATTTCCTGTGACGTATTTTAGGTTTATCTGTACAATCTTGACAATACCACTTGCCTTTTGGTTGGGATTTGAGACCAACGCAGGGATAATGAAACCATTCGATCTCGCATTCACTGTTATCACAAGCGACCATATCACCCCAGCTAACTTGTTGGCAATAACAATAAATCGGCTCGTTAGGATCGATAGGCATGTCTGCAGCGGTTGATGTATCATCATTTCTAATAATTATATTGTGAGAAACAACTTTTTATTAATCAAATTCATTTAGTACAAAGATTTGCATGTAACATACGTTTTCTCGATTGCTGCCGCTTTATTTTTATTATTTTTATTATTATCTTTCTTTCTTTTTGGTTTCTCACGATCTTTATCTCCATGATTCCGAGATGTAGTCGGTGGTGGCGTGGCCGTGTCTTTGGCGTTGTTGGTCTTGCGTTCTATACGGGTGAAACGCACAAACATTTTTTGGTCATTATACATTTCATTACATTAAGTTAGCATATTTACACGATGAAGAATAAACTTACTTTTATGATTTGACGAATCCCCACCTACAGAATCGAATTAAATATTTAAAACATGTGAAAGATTGATCAACGTAACTATTCCTTATTCTTTACCTTGTTGTGCCCTTTTTTCAGGTTTACCATCTTTCTTTTCTTTATCGTTCTTTTGATTTTGTTTGCGAGTTACATCTGGTTCGCGAACAACATTGGAATTTGCTGCCGGACTAACCCTACCCGGGCCTGTCATTTGTTCGTCTTCAAACTTTTGAAGGTCGTCATCGAGTCTTCTAATATGACGGTCAACCTAATGAAAAGAGAAACAACTGCTGTTTATTAAATTAAACTTTCAATGGTTTCCAACAATATTTACGTACGGTATCGTATGTTGAAGTTGCCAGGGAGACTCTTTCTTCTCCATTTTTTAAACTATCAGTCAATAAACTTCCGAGTTTTTTAAGTTGCTCCACTCTATCTTCTCGACTAAGATCGGGTAAGTTATCTAACAAGGTGGTGGCTTGTTTGGAGACATTATCTATAGCATCTGTAAATATGTTGAATAAAATTTAAAAGGAGACTATCAAACAATTTATAAAATTTTAAACATAAACCTTGTGTATTCGTATCAAGTTGTCGCATTAATGTTAAATTGCGCTGTAATTCTGCGGGTAACGACTCTAATGCTAAAAATGAGGGGAATGTGAGGTAGAATTAAATCAAATACCAAAAATAAAAAAAGGTAAAAAAAAATACTTACTATCCAAGTAATCGTCTAAATACATCAAGTTATTCTCCAAACGACTTGTACTAATGGCTGGTCCTGGCATATTTGATGTATTTACTTTAAAACGAGAGAAGTTTGATTCGAAACAAAAAATAAAATACCCACAGTAAATGATGATTCCGATTATTGTGACACATTGTCTGAATTGCGTTTTTGTGTTACAGCGTTACAACAAATTTAATCAGATCTACTTTCGCGTTTTTTTTTTTTTCCCTGAAAATCAAAAAAAGCAAATCAATAATCTTATTATTAAAGATGTAAAAAAAAAAATTTTTTTGATAGTTTAAATGCATTTAATATTTTAACTTATTAATCGACAAATGTTAACAAAAAAATATCATACAAAAATTTATTTGATAGGTCTTCTGCTATACAACTAATCAACCCAAAGTCAGAAGTTGCTCGAAGAGGTCAAGCTCTTCAACTTAATATAACTGCAGCAGTTGGTTTGCAAGATGTATTAAAATCAAACCTTGGTCCAAAAGGAACGATTAAAATGTAATTAATTAATATTAATTTAATAATACTGATGCTAACTATAAAATTAATAAAACATTTGATATGTAGGTTGGTAGATGGCGCAGGCAACATTAAGATTACTAAAGATGGCAAAGTTCTATTGAGCGAAATGGTAAACATTGGGATACTCGTTTGTCTTTGTTCGTTCATTTGTTTGAGAGTAGTTATGGTGACTTGTATTGACGTTTGTTGACTTCCAATTCGGGATGAACTAAAGCAAATTCAAAATCCAACCGCGGCAATGATTGCTCGCGCTGCCACGGCACAAGATGAGATCACTGGTGATGGTACAACTTCTATTGTTTTATTGGTTGGTGAATTAATGAAGCAAGCCGAAAGATATATTACTGAAGGGTTACATCCAAGAATTATTACCGAGGGATTCGATTTAGCAAGAAAAGAAGCATTAGAGGTACATACAAAATTATTTTCTATTTTCAATAAATATGAATTGATTTAATCTTTTATTAATAAAAAAAATATATAGTTCCTGGATAAATTTAAAATTGAAAAACAGATTGATCGGGAGATACTTGTTAATGTTGCTCGAACCTCTTTACACACAAAAGTTCATGCAGCACTTGCAGAAACACTGACTGATGCTGTCGTTGATGCAGTAATGACAATTAAACCGGATGGTCAACCAATTGATTTACATATGGTTGAAGTTATGAAAATGCAGCACAAGACTGCTACCGAGTCTCGATTAGTTCGTGGTTTGGTGTTAGATCATGGTGCTCGTCATCCTGATATGCCTAAACGCGTAAAAGATGCTTACATATTAACATTGAATGTATCTCTTGAATACGAAAAAAGGTATGGGATTGACGTATTGTATTATAAATACTTTGAATAATACATATAATGTTTCTATCCTTTTTTTTTATTTTTATAGTGAAATAAATTCAGGATTTTTTTATTCATCTGCTGATCAACGAGAGAAACTTGTAGAATCAGAACGCAAATTTACGGATGAAAAAGTGAAAAAGATTGTCGAATTTAAAAAACTAGTATGTGGGGATACCGATAAAGGATTTGTTGTCATTAATCAGAAAGGAATTGATCCCTTGTCATTGGATCTTCTCTGTAAAAATGGAATTCTTGCATTGAGACGTGCCAAGAGAAGAAATATGGAAAGGTAATTTTAGTGTATCATGTATTTCCTTTATTTTTTTTATATATATTTTATATACATTTTTTTTTTTGACGCAAAATTAATTTTTTAGATTGCAACTTATTTGTGGAGGAGTAGCACAAAATTCCGTGGACGATTTGTCTCCAGAAATTCTCGGATATGCAGGACTTATTTATGAGCATATTCTTGGAGAAGAAAAATATACCTTTGTTGAAGAGGTTAAAAATCCAAAATCTGTTACGATTTTGATTAAAGGACCTAATTCTCATACAATTGCACAGATTAATGATGCTGTCCGTGATGGATTACGCGCCGTAAAGAATGCAATTGAAGATAAATGCGTTGTACCAGGAGCAGGAGCATTTCAAGTTGGGCTTTCAACTCACTTGAGCAAATTTAAAAGTTCAGTCAAGGGGAGAGCCAAGATGGGAGTTCAAGCATTTGCAGACGCAATGTTGATAATTCCTAAAGTTTTGTCACAAAATGGAGGATTCGATGCTCAGGATACAATTGTTGCATTACAGGTGAGTGTAATCATAATCATCATTATCCAAAATCAAATATTTTGAATAATGATACTTATTTTAACTTTTATATTTATTATAGGAGGAATTTGCAGCAGGACACATTGTAGGAGTTGATTTAAATACGGGAAGCACACTTGACCCTATCGTGGAGGGTATTTGGGATAATTATCGTGTCGTTCGTCATATGTTGCATTCCTGGTAATATTATGCTTGCATATTTATAATTGGTTTAAAGATTTTTTTTTCTTTTTTTTTAAATAATAATATTTATCATATTTTAGTTCCGTGATCGCAAGCAACTTTTTATTAGTTGATGAAATGATGAGAGCTGGAAGATCAAGTTTGAAGAATGATAACATTGGAAATTAATTATATGTAGTGAGTTTTTCTAAAATTTATAGATTTTATGTTGTTGGGTAATTTATTTATTCAACCATCAAAGATTTAAATATTTTTAAAAAAAGAATACTTTATTGATAAATTATCAAGTCGCTTTAATTACTAAAAATCTTTTTTTTTTTTTTAAAAATAAAATTATAATAAAGAGTTATGCCGATGAAAATATTTCATTACATTGTGTCAACTATTTACATGATTATTTAAAAATACAATTTTTTTTGTGTCCTTGTCTAGTTTACTAACGTCATTTATAGTGTGTATATTTTATCTATATACTGGAAGGAAATTTTTTTTTCAAAAATACAAAAAAGTTGGGTTGTTGAGGAAACGAAAAATGCGATTATTAACATTCCGAATGAAAAAGAAAATAAATTAATTACAAAAAAAAGAATGTTCATAAATAAGATCATTAATTATGATCTACGTTTGAAGGGAGAACTGAATCGGTTTTGTGAAGAAGATAATGATGAAGCAGCATCCCACGTTGAACGACGATATCGTGGCCTTGATTGTAAAATGCTTTTTGCTAATTCGAGTCTGTCAGAATCCGATTGAAGTTGGTGCAAATTTGGCAAACTAGATCTCTTTTGGCCAGTCTAACGATAATAAAATTATAATGAGAAAAGAAAATAATCAAACCATAAAGTCATTAATTTATGATTAAGTAAATACCTTGTATTTTTCATATTGAAATATTGCATGAAGACGTGACCGAGTTTGATCAAAAGTTTCTAGGCTGACTTTATCCAAAAATGATTTTGATAAATCGCTTGTAAATGAGGAATCGCAATGATTACCAACGTTATTTGATATTTTAGTGTTATTATTATTAAAAGAAACCGAAGAATGGGAACAGCGATTGGAAGTTGAAGGAAATTTGTGAACGGGTTTTTTGTTTATCGAATTCGAAATAAAATCGGATTTTTTATCATTAGATGGGGGAGTATCCTTTGGTATCATTCCACACGCTTTCATTTCGCGAGTGGTTATTTCAGCCAAGGCTTTACGTAGATATTTTTGAAAGAAATTGCCAGCACTCGCGAGAAATGCGTCAACTTTGACATCACATTCGGGATGTTCCAACAAGAGTTCATAAAGTTCTTGAATACCCTAAAAGATTCGACAGAAAGAATTTTTGATATTGTTAGAAAGTTACGACGGAAAAAAAAATAAAAGGAAAAAAAAAAAGGAGCCGTTCGAAACGTACTTTTTGTGCATTTTCTAGTTGGCCAATTTTGGTAAAAATTAAAGTGAGTTTTATATTAAGGTCTCGCTCACTTAAAGAAGTTGTATTGAAAGAAACCATGATTTTGTTTTGTATTTTATTTATTCTTTATTTGAAGAGTAAAGAAAGAAAATAAAATTTGATAACAAAGTCGAGAGGGAAGCAAAGGAAATTAAATAGCAGATAATTTTTAGCACAAAAAATTAATGATTGAATTTTAAGATAAATTGTTGGTTCGAAATTAAGGTATGTAGCTGACATCGCTGTTACCTTTATATAAATAAAATTTAGACAAGCAGGAGAAAAAAAAAGGGTATTATTATTTGTGTTCTTTAAAGTCAAAATAAAAAAAAAAAAATTCAATTGTTAAAATTGTATAAGAAAAATATGTATATATTATGCAAATGCAGTTTCATTTTTAGTTAGTACTCCAAGTTGTGAGATCTTCCTGCCCGCCACTTTTTTTCATAATATATTGATCATCTATTACATCATAATTAAACCGCCCATAGATTATTTATTTATTTGTGGCAAATTTCGCTTTATTTCGCTTTTCAATTGTTGATCTGCCTCCTTTCCAATTTTTTGAACTTGCATTTTTTGATCATTGTTCGACTCACTAAGCATAAAAGGCAAGTGGCAAATACTAGTCATACTAGTCACATGATTTAAATACAATCAAATCATCGATGTTCATTCTTGCAAGTATAATAGCTCCATAAGCTTCAATTATAAAAAAGTCCCCCATTTATTTATATTTATTTATTTTTATTTTTATTCTTGTTTCCCATTCTTTAATGGATGATTAAGAAAAAAAGCGTTTTGTTTTGAATTTAAATTGTTTCGTGGGGATGTGAAAGCACTTCCCGAACTTCCTGATCTTAATCATCCCCATTTCCCCATTTCTTTAATAAAAATTATAAGGTTCGGTTGGGTTCAGTTGGATGATAAAACTGATAAATCGATTCCCTTAAACTTTGTCATTACCTACATTTGCATTAACAAGTATCAATACTTGAAATATTAATTTAGAACTTGATTGAAAAAAAAATGTTAATTTTATGTGCAGATATGTAAGAATTTATGATAAGTATGTGAGTATGGATTTCTTTTTTAATTTACTTATTTTCTTTATTTTTTTTACAATGCATGATATTGTACAATTTAATCTTCCCAAAAAATACACCCAAGATCTGCGAGTACGCCATAACCGCCGCAGTAATGACTGCGGGCAAGTTATCGAGGAAAATCAAACAATCGGTCATACAAACATTTCAACTTTTTTTACAAGATGATCTTGTTAAAAGACGCGAATCGTCAATGCGAACACACATTGTTTGATTTGAATTTAATATTGTTCTGTCTAATTAAATTTAATAAAAGTGTTCGTGTTTGAAACTTGTCTGGATTCAAAGGGAATTGTTTAGAGTATATAAGACAACCAAAAAAAAGAATAAGCATAATTCTGTTTCATTGTAATGGAACAACTTTGAAGGAAAAAAAAGGATGTCATTTGACAAATTTTCAAGTTTTTTTTTTTTTTTAGTTTTATTGCATGTCAAAAAAAATAAAAATTTTTTTCTATTTAATTTAACCAATTAGAGTAAAAACCAGATTTCACAAAGTTCAGCTGAATTTTTGAAAAGTACACGCGAAAGCACACGACCTGTAATCATTTTAAAAGTGGGCTAAATGAATTTGTAATAAAAGTTTGAATAAAACTCGTTTTGGGTTAAAAAAAATTTTTTTTCTTTTTATTTTTTGATTGAGAAGCCATCTGTGGTAAAGACAAAGTTATTTTTTTCTCTCTCGAAAAGATAGATTTACCGAAAGCAGCAAAAAAGTGCCCTGATCCCAGTTGATACTATTTTTGTTCATAACGTTTTTAAAAATATACTGTAACCCGATCTGTCATGCTACATGATGATGATTTTTAATGAAAGAATTGACGATGTATCATATGTTCGTTATTTTTTGAACTGTAATTCTGTGTTTAGAAAACCGGAAATGAAACTTTATTACTAAAAATATTTCTATAACATGACGATCCTGTTTTAATCAGTGATTAAAAAAAAAAAATTTTTTTTGATGATGAGCTAGCTTATTATAAAATTATTAAAACATCATGTTTGCGATCTTATCTTCAATTTGTACAACTATTATTTATATGAAACTAATCTTCCTCACAAATATAGCTTCATTATGTAAAACAAGTGAACCTTAATTCAAGTACAAGGCAAAAAAAAAATGAATCCTACGAAGAATAAAGTTTCATATTGATAAAACGTTTATGTTTATTGATGAGTAATCAGAATGATTTGGAAAATAAGATTCTTGTTGTCCTAAAAGAGGTAAATCATTCTCTGATCATTGTTTCATTGTGGTTTTATTGATTTATTTACCCTTATATTGTTTATCGTTGTAAGACACTTTTCTTCAAATTATGAGCCACAAATGGTATGATCAGTTTAGGAATAACCTCCTGGAACTCAATGGATATGCGCCACATGGCGACAATAAATATTTGCAGATGTTTCTCGATTTATTCAAAGATGTGTGGAGTATTATCAACATCTACACATGTGATTTCATAATCTTTTTCGCTCAAACGGGCAACCCCCTAGAAATTTCTGTTATCAGCCCTGTATTAAAAAAAATAAAAAAAATTTTTTTTTTAATTTAATTAATTTTTTAATTTGTTGCTCCCTTTTTAAAATTCTAAAAACAGTAAAATCATTCTCGTGTTTCAATGATTGACAAACTGAACAAAAATCTCGACTTTGCCTTTTGATTTTTTTTTTTTAAAAGATGTTCCAATTTGTGTCGGACATTCTTTTCAATGGTCCAATTTTCCAATGGTCCAATCACCTTTCCCGATCATCCGATCGTCATGAATTAATTTCGACGAGTGACAAATTTTGTGCGAAAAAGAATATTTTATTGGAACAACAATAGTAACAAAACAGTCAACAAAAAAGTTGCACATGTCGAAAAAATATTCGAACATACATACATTTTAATGAAAATTTAAAATACAAGATGAACATCGGGTCGATTTATTTTTTTTTTTTTAAAAAAAAAAAAAGGTGGTGTGAATTATTGCTACCTTGAGTGAGTTATACGATTCTACGTGTGATACTACTTAGTACATTGCTTAATTTTAAAACTATGAGATCGTATGTTCGTATTGTTTGTTAATTTTAATTAATTATTTTCATAGGTTCATGTTGGGTCGATGAAACAAAAACAATTTTTTTCAACAGAAGACCCTTGGTTGATCCAATTACAGATGTGGTTAAAATTTATCAAATTAATCTGTTGAAAATTTCCAATGGTAATTAGAAAGATCGAAAGTTGGAAGAATTTGTACTCTCAATCCCCATCGCGCATGATTCACATAATTTTGCTAATTTAAAGTGCATTTTTATTTATTTTTAGTGAAAATTAAAAATTTATTAAAAATTTTAATTGAAAAATAAATTTTTCGTCATTGGTAAATCCGGTGTTGCAAAAAAAAAAAAAATTATAATTTTTTGATTATCGCAACTTTGGACTTTTTTCGTTCACAAATTTACCGCGTGAGTTTCAGAATTATATAATAAATTTCATATGTATAATAATAATAATAAAAAAAAATTTATTTTGCCTAACAAATAAATGTACTTAAAAAATTAATATCCTTTCTATTCTTGCCATTCTTTTCGTATGAATAAGTAGAAATTATCATTAATTTTAATTTATTTTATTAATAATAGCAACATTTTTACCAGCGTCATTGATTTACGAGATTTATAATGAAATATATTTTTTTTTTGTATTTCCTTCATGGATCCATGATTTTATGTTTATTTAATGTAAGACAATAATAACATAATAAATTATTTGTCCAGTTTTTAATTTTTTTAAAAAAAAAAAAAAGATTTAATTAAAGCTTTTAAGAAATTCGAGCTGAAAGCAATAATTTGTCAGGTAAATTGTGTATCACGTTTCATGCTATTAAACTAGAAATTTGTTATTTGTTGACAACTATAGAATTCCAAAATTTTTATTGGGACTTTAATACGAGAATATTAGAAACTCAGTTATTGAAATCTTCTTTTACATGGGATTTGGAGGGAAATTGGATTGTGACTGAATTAGTAAGCAAACATTATCATTGTAATTTCAATTTACGCGTGATATTTAATAACCATTCTTCATGTATCGATAGTTTACCTTATTCACTTTATTCGAATTTTAAACATCGTGATTATGAAAATTTAGCAATTAATTTTTTTTTAACCGTTCGCAAAATATAAACATAATAAAACAGTATTATTTAAAGGTACTTTTGTTGTGCGAACTTTATTGCAAAGTAGCAAATTGATATAAACATGTATATATTATTTACTTTTGTATGTTTCTGTAAATAATTATTTACTTAAAAGGTGAGTTTGAGAACGTCACAGCATTAAATGAAATTACGCGATTATTTATGATAATAGCTTCAATGATTTTTTTTTTTATCATTATTTCTCTCGTTACGATCAATTTGACTCTGAGCTAAATTTGATTTCAACTTTATCAAAATTTTGGGTGGAATTTGTTGTTGCGTCTACGAATCTACGAATATTTTATATAAATAATTACTATGACCGCAATTTGGACAGATTCCTTTTACTCAATAATTGCATTAACATTGGGGATATGGCAACTCTTAAAGGGAAATGACAAATTATTCAGGAGGTATAATAACTGATCCCTTGGGCTATATATATATATTTTTTAACTGATTCTTAAAAAGCCTTGAAGCATTGATTGCGAATATATATGAATATAAAGGATATTACAGGACATTATTAATGAAACAAGTATGAAAACGAAAAAAAAAAAAGTGATATCGAAACGTCTTTCGATGATATCAATATCTTCTTGAATGAAAAACCGAATCTTGGTATGCATATTAATTGGAAATTTTAACTAGATAATAAATGTTATTTCAAATTTAAAAATTTCATAATTTATTTGACAGGAAGTTATATCGATTATTGGATTCAACAAAATTAATATGGCACATAGGAAATAATACCATTTCTACAATTTAGACCATTTTTAATAAGTTCAAAAGTGTATCTTATATAACACTTTTTACGTGTCGCCAATTATGAATGTTATTGAACAAATTCTTAAACATTCTATTTATATATTTATATATTGAACGATGTTGAAACTAGAGTCGATTCGTTATTAAACTTACCAACCTGACAATGAGTAAATGTGTATTCCTAAACGAATTGTTATTACCAAAACATATTTTAACATGGGAAAGTTATTTACATTGATGTTCGTGGAGGATGTCAGAGAAATTTTTTTATTTTTTTGATTAAAGTTATTAATTAGGCTTTATGTTTTTTTGACACATTATTACGAATATCATATCAGGTTAATTCTTTTATGAAAATTCTTTACTTTTCCGAATCTCTTTGAATTCCAATAAAAACGCGTAAATCCGATATTTCATCAACCAAAGGAGGATATCAAATATCGTGAAAATTGAATCAAAAAATTTCTTATAATCATTATTAGCTATTTTCTTTAGAAAAGAAAAATGGAATTGAAAACTTGAAGGAAGTGATATAATGCAGAAGGAATGATTGTTCAAGACGAAACTCCTGGCAAAATTTTATAAATCTACGCTCTTTTAATATATTTTAAATCGTTTAGAGTAATAATAATTTTATCTCCGATATTTATAAATTCCGGAACTTGAACTTGAATTCCGTCGCGTATTTCTATTACTTTCATGGCCGGACCTTTAGAAGTATTACCAATGATAGATGTTGTACCAACAACTTTATAAGCATGCGTTTGAGGAAGACGAAATGAAATTGGGTTTACCCCTTCTTCGGTTTCTAAAAACGAAACCGTGACCTTTATATCATCTGCGAGGAACGTGAAACACGATTAATATTTTTTTTTTTGCCTCTATTTATTCATTTTTGATTTACCTTCCAATAATTGTAAATACTTTACGCCACCTAAAAAGAATCCGGATCTTAATATTAATTCATGAGGTATGATAATCATTTTAGTCAACAGTACCTTCAATCTTATTGGCATCGATTTCGATTTCTTCAAAAGTATCGGGATTGGTCAGATATACTTTTTTTTTATCGGAGTACAAGTACGTATAAGATTTATCGGAAAGGGTTGATACTGAATAAATTATAAAAATGAGGATCCGTTGACATTCAGCTCATCTGAAAGAAAATATAATCCATCTACCTTCGAACGTTTCACTAGGCCTTAATCTTGCCACAATTATTTTTCCGGTTATGACATCTTTTAATTCAAACTATCCTGCCAAGAAGCAAGAATAAACGAGGCAAGAATTCATAAAGTTGTTGTGTAAAATTTTAACTCGCGATAAGTTTTTATAAAGTTACCTTGGTGGCCGCACTTCCCCTTCCAGTAAAGTGCGAATCTATCTTTGTTACCATATAATGTCTATTTTTATGTTCAATGACCTCTCCTTTATTGATTTGACTAACCGTGGTTTTGTATGGTCGAACATATTTTCGCTTCGAAAATTGGTTTAATAAAATAATTTTCTTTTTAGTTAAAAAATTTACAATTATTAAATTAATTTCTCATGATAAAAAAAAATATTTTTTGTTAAATTACCACAATACTATTTAAAAAAATTGTGTTTGGTTTAACGGGTGAGAGGCCAAATTTTATGAAATTTACTGCGTTCATTTTAGGAAGAAAAAAAATTTTTTTTTTTTGATAAAATCCATCAGTCGTATGTATGTATTTCGGTTCATCCAATCAAATCTCACGAAAAAATGATATATAATTACGTAACCAAAAAAAAAATCCCCCCCAAAAACGTACATTTCGATCAAATATATATAAATCAACATTGTAAGGATTTGAAAGGTTCAAAGTTCGATCTTCCTTACCTTATTCTTTCACCCTTGCAACTAAGCCGAGTTATTTGCTTGTTACTCGGTGTTAATAGTCGCATAAAACGAACTTTTTTTTAAAAAATAAACCTTAAACAAATATGGGTAGAGAAGGAATAAAGAATTACTATCAGACAAAGATCGAAGAGGCGGAGTTGATTATTAATGAGAAGACGCAAAATTTAAGGCGTTTAGAAGCTCAGAGGAATGCACTGAATGCTAAAGGTATGTTTAATTGGTAAAGATTTTTATTAACATTAAATGCGAAAAAAATTTTCTTTTTTACCGGTCTTGCATATTCGTTAATTTTTTTTTTCCTAATTGTAGTTCGATTACTCAGAGAAGAATTACAACTTTTGCAAGAACCCGGATCATATGTTGGAGAAGTGGTTAAACTTATGGGCAAAAAAAAAGTTCTCGTAAAAGTTCACCCTGAAGGAAAATATGTGGTAGATATTGCTCCGGACATTGACATTAATCTAATCACAGCAACATGTAGAGTTGCTCTTCGCAATGATTCATATACGCTTCATAAAATTTTGCCTAATAAAGTTGATCCTCTCGTTTCATTGATGATGGTGGAAAAAGTTCCGGATTCAACATATGAGATGGTGGGAGGATTGGATAAACAAATTAAAGAAATCAAAGAAGTTATAGAATTACCCGTAAAACATCCTGAATTATTTGAGAGTTTGGGTATTGCTCAACCCAAGGTACGATGATATGTTTAATTAAGATGTATCAAATGTAAAACATAACAATTATATTTATATTTAATTCATCTTAGGGAGTTTTGTTATATGGACCTCCTGGTACCGGGAAGACTCTGTTGGCACGTGCAGTCGCTCACCATACAGATTGTAAATTCATTCGAGTTTCCGGTTCAGAATTAGTACAAAAATACATTGGAGAAGGAAGCCGAATGGTTAGAGAATTGTTCGTCATGGCAAGGTATCTTTATTGACTATTTTTAGAAAAAAAATTTTTTTTTGAAACAACTTGAAATCTAAAATTAAATATGATACGCTTTTTAGAGAGCATGCACCATCTATCATCTTTATGGATGAAATTGACTCGATTGGGTCTTCACGTATAGAATCGGGTTCGGGAGGTGGCGATTCAGAAGTACAAAGAACAATGTTAGAACTTCTCAATCAATTAGACGGATTTGAACCCACAAAAAATATAAAGGTAAATCAAGCATGCAATACATTTTTAATAGGTTTATCGAAGCACCTCATTAAATCTTATTATGTAGGTCATTATGGCAACGAATCGTATCGATATTCTCGATCCGGCTCTGCTGCGACCCGGTCGTATTGACAGAAAAATCGAATTTCCTCCACCGTCCGAGGCTGTATGTAATAAATCAATTACGATCGGTTTAATTTAATCACTTTGTATTTAAATCCTTTGATTGTGTTTTGCAGGCACGAGCCGATATTCTGAAAATTCATTCGCGTAAAATGAATTTAACGCGTGGAATTAATTTACGCAAAATAGCAGAAAAGATGAACGGATCTAGCGGTGCTGAAGTGAAAGCAGTTTGCACAGAAGGAGGTATGTATGCTCTTCGAGAACGTCGTGTGCACGTAACGCAAGAGGACTTTGAAATGGCCGTGGCTAAGGTTATGAAGAAAGGAGAAGAGCAAAATGAAAGTTTACGCAAACTTTGGAAATAACAGGATAAGTTTCGTATGTTTTACGTATATATATATACATATTTTTTTTATTGTTTTTATTTTGACTACAATAAATATGATGGGGATCATTTTAACATTAAAAACCCGAAATCATAAAAGGAAATGATCAACAAAGTACTTTTTAATTATAGTAATAATTATTCTAGTAATAAAATATAATAAATCTGTGAAAGAAAATTTTCTTGGTTATTTTTATTGTGAATATAAAACTTGAAACGTGGATGATTACGGTATCAGCCGAAATCTTCCTGGGCTTTATAACGGGTATTAGGCTGATATAAAAAGGAATCCTAAATATAGAAACAAACATAAAGATTGCCTAATTATTTATCATGATTTTCCATTAAACTTTTCTTTTTTTTTTTATTGAGCGGTAAAATTTAGAAACACTTAATTATTGGCTAAACATATAAGAAAAAGCCTTTACAACTTGTGTAATCCTGAAAATCAAATAAATAGGTTGTTTTTGAATAAGTTTTAGCTTTTTTTTTTTATTTTTCAGAAAAAAAAAAAAACGAGTACAAAATTTTAAAAAAAATTCAAATAAAGTTTTGTGAAAAAAAGATATAAATAGATATATTTAGAAGGTTTTTTTTTTTGATTCCCTTTTTTATATGAAGATTTTTGGTTCCAAGGTATGTACGGTACACTGAATTAATGCTGTGTCCTTTGTGTTTATTTTACATTTTTATTGTTTGATGTCTCGAATTTAATTGGAAAGTTATTATTGAGAGTTTTATTTTCCCTTCATTTTTCCGTTATTTCATTTTGTTTCTTGGCACTTTCCTTTATTTCCTTTTCGCTCGACATTTCCTCTCAAGATTTTTTTTCTTGTCCCTTATTCATATATATATATATCCATTTTTTTTCGGTTTTAAAGTTGTCCAAGAGTCGAGTCGGATCTTAACTGAATATCATCCTTTGTGTCAGGACACATTATAATACAACAACACACACACTCCTTACCTTTTGAGTCTATTTTTACTTTTTTTTTACTTTTTTGTTAAATTCTTAAAAGTTTAGCCAATCCTTTTGCCATTTTTATTCCTACTCCACATTTCTTTTATTTTTTTGAATTGTATTATTCGGATATTCTCACAACTGACTCAAAAAAGAAAAAACGCCCCTTTCAGTGTCAAACTCAATTTTTTTTTTTTTAATAAAACCTCTTATATACTGATTTTTTTTTTCTTTTTTTTTTTCCTTTACTCGCATACATACTTATATATATTGATATATATATGTACTTGTATATAACTTTGTAGATTCTGTTCCTTTCTTAATTTTCTCGGCCGAGGTTTCGACAGCTAACAGGGCTGCTAATATTTTAGACCATTTTTCTTTTCATATTTATTACGAAAGGAAATAAAAATATTTCCATAGACATTTTAATACATCTTGAGACTGTTTGTTAAGGTTGAAATAGTTCTTTTAAAGTCTATTTCTAACAAACATCAAAAAAGAGGAAAAAAAAACTTTGTACAGCTGGACTGTTCAATAGTTCTTAAATATTATTATTATTTAAACCGCTTTGTTTTGAACCTTATTATCCATTCCAAAGAAAGAAATCCCCTACCCCTTTGAAATTATTGACCATAATTGATAATTTTTGATAGTTGTAAAAAAAAAAAAGAAAGGCGAATTTCGGAATAATTTGCCAGGGACGATCTCTTAAATTACATGACCAGCGCATTGAAAAGATCATATCCGTTCGATTCCTTTTTATTAGAAGATATAAATCAATACAAAGTTCCTCAAACTCCTTTACTCAAAAGAATTTCAATGGCCCCTCCAAATGTTAACGTTTCTGTGAATGGTTCAGCATCATGGAAAATGTCGACGACAACTTTTACGAAACAAAATATTTCTAATGAATTAACAATTTCTGCTAATCATGATCAAAATTTTTCATCGGCTGAAAAGAGTCCTTTGCCAAGTCCTCCGTCTTCCAAGGGACGTAGAAATATGAAAAATTTACAACTGGTTGTACCCCCGGTTCGTTCTTCAATTTCGGCTCCTCCTTCGCCTCAATTACTTCCAACTTCCACGACCTCGCATAATAGACGTCCTTCAACTCCTTTATGCATTTATCAAAATAAGGGTTCGAATTCTATCGTAGCAGACCCAATGGCATTAATGTCAAAGACCGAAAATGCAATTGGAGAAGATTTGCCATATAAAAATGAACCAATACAAATTTTACCAAATTTGTATCTTGGTTCCGAATTAAATGCTGCGAACCGTTCAATGCTTAATAGGATTAATGTCGAATTTATTTTAAACGTTGGGAAGGAAGTTGAAAATCCTTACTTGGATGAGATTACAAATGTGAATTCCTCATATTCCTCTGATTTTCAACAACAAATTTCACCAGGCCTTCCAACTTCCTCATCGATTTCATCGGAAGATAGTTTCATGACAGCAATCCAATCCCCATCATTGCCACTTGACTCACCGATCGTACCATCATCTCCGTTTGGTATTTTAAGGTCAAATTCTTTGTTACAAAAACGAATTTCACTGACGTTGCGTACTAGTTCATCGTCTCCACAATTAGCTCACGAATCGATGTTATCAGGAGTTCCACTTACAGTTCCTGCAACTTCAGAATTTAAAACTTTGAAATATAAAAAATTCTTTTGGACTCATAATCAAGAGAATCTTATCTCGGATTTCAAATCTGCATTTGCATTTATTGATGAAGCTCGTTCAGCTGGTAGAAATATTCTCGTTCACTGTCAATGCGGAGTATCACGTTCGGCTTCGTTGATCATTGGATACGTCATGAAGGCAAATAAGATGACCCTTAATCAAGCTTACGAATTTGTTAAAGATCGAAGTCCTTATATCAGTCCAAATATGAGCCTTGTATATCAATTAGTGGAATTTGAAAAAACCTTGAAATTGGGAATGAATAATAGTAATTCGATCCCAAACTCCCCTCACCCCTATGGAAAGGATGATTTGAAGAAAACGCACTCGCGTAATTCAAGCATAGAAAGTGATCTACTTCTAAGTCACCGACGTAGCAACAGTCTCTCTAGAGGGAATTTAAGTCAATATAATCAAAATAATAGTAATAATAATAATAGTAATATTAATAACGGTAATATTCTTAATAGTATTAGTAATCTTAATAATAAGGATGCCCCTCCAAAAACTCCCTTACTTGTCCCTGAAGGATTCTTGAACATACCACAACAACGACAAGCTACTGTGAAAGGGAGAGCCGGAAGGTTCCACGTTATCACCGCATCCATCACACCCTCTTCTTTGTCACCCGCATTATCATCCGCTTCATCATCCGTTTCATCATCCTCCTCATCTGAATCTTCATTGTTATCATATGCAAATATAGCTTCACCGACTAATTCATCGAGCGAAGAATCCTCACCTACAAATAGGTTGAGACGTTCTTCGAAACCTCCACCTTTGTCACCAAAGACAAGTAATTCTTCCTTGAACACATTTAAAAATGCTTCTCGATCTTCATATTCCCCTATAGATCGAAATCCTCTTTCACCAAAAGGAATTATCTTTAATCCAATGTCTCCACAATTCGTTCCGGAAAGTGCAACGATGATTTATTCTTCTACGTCCCATGATAAGGATCCTTTCGTTTCGTTTAGTAATTTTGAAAATAGTTTTGGCCCTTCTCGAACATCAAATATTTCCTTTCATTCTTTTGATAAAACTACTTCTTTCATTATGAATCAAAGAAATCATGAAGTATTATCAGGACCCAATTCAGGGATATTTAGCAAATCTACTTTTGAAAGTATATTTTCTCCAACAAGGGTTTCTCCACCTGTTACACCTGTTGCAATTCCTGATTTATTTGTAGAAGAAGAATAAGAACAAAAAAAAAAAAGAGGAGGGTAATTTTTAAGGTTAAAAACAGAATGGTTCAAGGCATAATTACTTTCATTTTGTAAGACATGAGACATTAATTTGTGACAATTTATTTACAATATATTGAATATATTGACAGTTTAAATCTTGTACAAAACAAAAAAATTTTTATTTTTTATTTTTTTTTATTTTTTTTTATTTTTTTTTTTTTTTAAAAAAAAATTATCTAGAAAATATCAATTAGAAGTAACCTAATTGTAAAGTGATAAAGAGAATTTATTAACCGCTATCGATCAGATTAAAATATCCTATTGATATTTTGTTGAATTGTTGATAAGCCATTGTAAATTAAAAATAAATACTCCCTACTGGTAATATTGGTTAAATTTTGTTTTTTAATCTTTGTTATTGATTATATGTTATAAAAAGATAGCGTTATTTCTTCCCAATTTAACCTAAAGCGTTAATTCATGTATATAGAATATTTCTTTTTTTTTTTAAAAAAAAAAACTTTTGTAAATTATTGCATTAATATTGAATTGTTTTATTTTATTTTATCCTCGTTACCCGAAAAATATCTATCTATCTATATATATAATATATACATACATTTGGCATTATATTATTGTAAATTAAATAAAAAAAAAAATATTAAAAATTAAAAATTGTTGCAAAAAGTCGTGCTTATAGAAAACTTGTAATGGTTGAATAACATCCCATGAGAAGAATCAAGGCTTGTATAAAACCCCATAAAAGTGGAATCCAACACATCATTTGAAAGCCGCCGAATAAATAAATAACTGCCAGCACTAACCCTGCGTTGTTCGGTTGATAATATAAAGGAAAGTTAATAATGTTTTACTCTTTTATTTCTTTTTTTTTGAGAATTGAAATAGTTTACGAACCAACCGCTGTTCCTCCTACAAAACCCGTTAATAATGCGACAACAATAAATCCAAAAGGGATCAGGAATGACCATTTATAACTACGAAATACAACCCAAGCCCATATTCCGGCTAAACTATATATCACGGTAAAGAATATTGTGGTCCATAATGCTGTTTGTAACCAAATTGCTGTTTAAAAAAAAAATCAAAAAAAAAAATTCTTTAGTTCATTTTATAAAATAATAATAATAATAATAATAATAACAATATAAAGGATGAATCGAACCATCACTTAGAATTCCATTTATTATTGGGCATATTTTTTTACTTTGGTTATCAAGTGAAGCAGAGAACAATTCTGATAAATTGGTCGTCATAATTACCAAAAAAAAAATTTCAAATTCATCCAATTTTGGAAACATTTTTACAATAATTTTTATACAAGTATAATTAATCATATATTTCTAATCAGTATAATCATCAGGTATTCTAATTAACTTGTAATACATTAAATAAAGTTATTTATATTTTATTATTATTTTCATTTCTTCTTTTTATATATTTAAATTTTTAAAATCTAAATTAAAAATAAAAAAAATAAAAATAGGATTTTAAAAATAATGTTTACATAAATAATATTACAAAATTGATCTATATATCTGATAATTGACTTAGTTAATAAAATCACATATTATATCTTATAACTTAGTAATATTTTCATATTTTATATAGCAAATATAAAAGATATAGTTAATTTATTAAATATGTATAACATGTTAGTTTTATTTTTTTTTATAATTTTTATAAATATTAGTATAAAAGAAAATTAGATTTTCTCTAACTCTGGTTAATATTCTAATCATTAATCTTTTATGTTTTTTTTTTGTAAATAAATATTCTTATCTTTAATAAAACTTATTTTATTTTGCATGTGTAATAGTTAGACATAAATAATTGCTACTTATTTATTTTTAATATTAACGTTAAGATATTAAAAAAATGAAAAAAATGAAAAATAACAAATAACAAAAAAAAATTGAAAAAAGACAAAAATGACGGTTGGGTTAATTGACGCGTACTCTAAACAATATATTCGGCATAACCTGTCACACATTTCAGACATGCTCTTAGACCGTTAGAAATCATATAAAAAGAAGATGAGATAGATATTGAATCATTTTTATCTGCTTTGCGCAAATTATAAACAAATGAGGCCTTTGCAATAGAAAGGGGGGAAACAGCCGGGAAAAATTAATTTTACTTTATATGCCAAATATGATTTTTATGCTGAAATATGTTCAAATTTAGCATTAACTCACTTTTGATTTTTTCGGCTGTTTCTCCCCTTTCTATTGCAAAGGCTCCAAATGATCAAGCGAAACATTCAAACTTATATTTATTCTCATCAATATCAGCAATCAATCAAACGAGTATAGGCCGAAAATTATTAATAAGGTATGATGACTTATTTCTCATCTTGATTCTAGAAAATCGTCATCATGATGTTAATTATTTTTTCCGGCTCTATAAATACTCAAAGATAAAGCGGACATATTACTTTTCTTGATCCTTTCTCATACTTGATATTCGCCGAGAAAATTGTGATTGCTGACACATGTCTAATCAGCGCAGTAAATTTTCTGTGGCTTTGCAAATTTCACCTGATTCTCGTTACATGCCAAGAATAAATTTTCTGGCAACAAAATAAGCCGAATTCTTGATGTTTGGCGTAATATCAAACTGATAATAAAAAATCAAACACCTTTATTATAACGCATTAAGTAACAAATTTCTTGAATATGAGGCGGAATGGAATGTTGTGAAAATGAAGTATAATGGTAAGTGTGAATCGGAAGCCTCAACTTGTTTCATTTCTTTAACCGTTGCTAATTTCAGAATTCTTCATACAGGTTCGAAATTATTTCATCTTGGAGAAGTTCTCTTATAAGAAATAATCTATTACGTAGTCTGTGTGGGTAGGAGTGATATAGATAGACAAAAATTCTGTAAATATTGGTGGAATAATTTACTTCGAAAATCTAGTGTTGAAAAAGAGTGTGAGGTTGAGAATTATGTAGTTAGCAATATAAATAAATTAGCTATAGATATTTTTCGAAAATGTGTAAGAGAAAAGAAATAACTTGATGCTAGAATTCGCATTAAATGACCTAAGATCCACGTACTCCCTCCCTCTTTGATAGCATCATACATTTCATTCGCTTCTCTAGCATTTTCTCTGTTTTGTGTGTATTTTCTGATTATTCAAGATCCAAACAGATTATCTCTAATAGGTGTATCCAAGATTCTCGTCTTAACCTCTTCAAGTACTTAAGTACTTTATTCTTTCCATCAAAGTGTCTTGCAATCATCATGTTCAATAAAGTTTCTCAAAAAATCAAACATAAGAAATCTTGGTGTTAGTATTTTGCTGAATAAAAAAGCTAGTTAATCAATTCTGAGTAGGCTAACTCTCACTCATAAGCTGGCCATTTATAATGACTCGCCATCACTGGCTTCTGACAGAACAAGTCTACCTGCAGACGCTTCTTTTATGCTTAACCAAATTGTTGATATATTCATATATTCATGTCATGACAAGTAAACTTACTTGATTGAAATAAGGGTTAGCAGTTAGAATTTTTTTTTATGACCAGCCTACCAGGATAAGAGTTTAGATTCCTTTTAAGAAAGGTGTTATGTGATCCTCACGTGATCTTGTGTAAGTGGAATCTACAGTACATATAGTACGCGTCTTTGACGTGAAATTTTTCAGCTGTTGTGTGTAATAATGCTAAAAAGTTCAAAGCAGATATGAAAGAAAAAATATAAGTTAGATGTTCAGTAACCCTGATCTGAGCCCTCTTGTCTTTTTTAAATTCACATTTTCTATGCATCGAGCTTGGGCTTTTAAGGTTTATGGTAAAACCTTAAATTCAGCCTTGAAGCTATGTAAAGATGAGGATGTTAAAGGAAGATTATTGAGAATGAATAAAAACTTTGACGTATGCAGCTGAATATGCTGTTTTTTCTAATATGCTGATTCAATAGCTTTCTAAATATTATTCCTGTTAAATAGAGTGAAATTCAAAAAGACTGGGAGTTGTAGTTGGAAAAGAGAAAAGCAGTATGTATGAACTACTTTAATATATATATGTTAATATTCATGTTCACGCTCCCAGATTCTAGTAAGCCATTCGATCCAAAACACTAATGTAACTGTGCAAAATAGGTTTAACACACGCGTAAAAAAATCAGGTTAGTCATAAATTTAATTTTGATTTGACATCATCATACCTTAATTAATGAGATTTCAGAAAATCTTATTACAGGACACACTGGCAATAATGCAAACGACGACAATACCTGATATAGACGATGAAGGGAAGAAGTGGAAATTTATGAAGATAAAGATGAAGACGATAAAGGTGAAGCTGATAAAAATGAGGACATTAAAGATGATGTCAATAAAGATGAGAACGATAAAGATGATGAAGACTTCAAATTTATCGAAAGACATGAATTGGACACTATAGGTCATACAAGACGCTGGATTTTATCAAGTGGGATCGATGTGGAACAGATATTGTCCTCTTATAGATGCCTAATACCTGAATCACAAAATTGCGTGAAGTGAGTTTTTTTTCACTAGTGATTGCATCTTTTAATAATGTTCATATTTTATGGACTTTTTCTATTCAACAGTCCTATTTACTGGGAAATACTCAATCTCACTGGGACTCACCCAGAAATAAAACAACTCTTCTCTGCGGAAGATTGGAATGAGATGTTGAAAAGTTTCGAGAACAAAATAGAAACTATTGAAAAAGATATACCTGATGTTGTATATTTGTTTTTCGATGAAATTGAGCAGGTAACTAATGATGATCGATGTTCTATTACATTCAGATTTTGCTTATATTATTCATTTGTTTCAGATAATAAAAAATAATGGGAAGAGTGAGGATATTATAATGGAAATTGACGGGATTTCTTCGCAGTAAATAGAAGCAAAGCATGAGATAACATTCGGTAAGCAAGATAAAACCTATATGATTGAAATCAAGAGAGCGATCTTAACATAGTAAGTGAGACCGAATTAAAGATGGACTCGTAAGTTGAAAAAATTATCAGGCATGATTATTCATCAATTCCTTTTATATACACGTATTTCTTTAGGAGAGAGATCTGTTTCTGAGCTTCAACTCAACGATGTAATGAAGGTCACTCAATTACGCTTTGTGCTCAGGTGGGGCAAAAATTTGACTTTCGAGGAACGCTAAAACACAGTATAAATAAATTAGAAGCGATAACAGGCGGTGGTCTTCCAGAATACCATCATAAAAAAATTTTTTCAGATTTTCTTAACTTATTCATAATGATGAGGGATACTTTCCATGCATTTTTCAACTCCAATGCAAACGTCTCAGATGAAGATTTGCATAAATTATTTGTTCTCAGATTCCAGTCAGATAGTTGACGCGAACTAAGCTTCATTTATAAATACTTATATTTTTTTGTTTTAAAGGCTGGACACATCAGATCCTTGCTATGGATTGCAAAGAGACAAACATTTGTAGGTATGGGAAGTTGTGCACAACAGCCTTGCCCAATTCTATAAGAACACTTGCATGTCTAGAAAAATTCTATGTAAAAATGAAAAATGTTCAAGTAATTTTGATTTGTCATGTTACTGCTTATAAATTTATATAATGCAATTTTTACGCGATTATAAGCTACCCTCAACTCCATATGTAATAAAGCAAATGACATCGCTTTATCCTATGCTCGAGCACATAGAAGAAAGTGAAAGGAAAAAGACCGAGAAGAACATGTCAATACTGAGGTTGGGGGCTGTTTTGGCAAAATTACTGAAACACCTCTCTCAAAAAAGTCACGAAAATTGGAACATGATTTCCCAATTTAACTTTTACTTTTTTTATATGTATTTACATCAAATAGTTAGCTTAATTAAGTTTATTGAATTCACACGAGTTATCTGATTGATTCTCCTACCTTTTAGGCCACATTATTTTATATTATTAAGGCACATGATTTTCTTTTATTGATTGAAAAGAAGTGCAAAATTTTATCTCTTATTCTGTAATAAAACTATAATTACACATATACATGATTTCGAATTTTTTGGAGACAGACCACTGCTAACTTTTTATCCAAAAAAAATAATGCACATGTGCAATAATCATAGAGAATTTAAGTTTCGAGTTTATTCAATAAGACTCAACTCTTGAAGATGCTTAGGAAAACTATATATGGTCTTTGTAATACCAAACATACCTTAGGACAATCAAATTCTCTTCGCATAATTCTTTCTTGAGTTGATCCTATGCTTGCTGTTTGATAAAATTATTGGGATTGCCTCTATGAAAGAACTTGTTAAATTTTTTGTGTTGCTTCCCTTGGACTTCAATGGCAAAACCATAATCATAATATGGAATATCAAACTCTAATCCTTGATAATATTTGGGTATTTTTTAAGAAATCAGGTCAGCGTATTTTAGATGGTAGTCCAAGATATTTTGATACTATTTCTCGACATAGTTTTTCTCTTTTATATTTTGAGCAGAATGGACACCACGAGTTGGAATATTTAACACTGCTAAATGATGCAGTTCATAAATGTCCTTCAGTACATTTCCACTTTAAAGCTGAATGACTATTAGTAAAATATTTAGAAAGATATACTCCATTTTTATTACATGCCAACTGCTTTGCATTTTTGATAGTAAGAGGTCTATTACCTACGCAATGTGAGCACCATCTCTTATAATTTTTTATATTATAAGAGTTGCAATCCATTCATGACTGTTTGCACATTTCCATCACATTGGGATATTAGTATTAATATATTCAGTAGAAACACATGTTTCATCACGCTCTTTGGCAATTGCAAAAGCATTATCCAATGTTAACCTTATCATTGATTTTTCAATGAAAAAATTAAAACTTTAATTACCAGATAGTGAAGTTCAAACTAATAATAACGTCTGGCTGGAGACACTAAAGCATGATCATGAAGAAGAGAATAATCGCTGGGTTATGAATGAGCTTAAAGTACTATCCAACATCTGCTTGAACCATCGAGCTATAAATGAGCTTAAAGTCTTATCTCAACATCTGCTTGATTATAACAGAAAGACTTTTGGAAAAATGATACAAGACATAGATAATAATTATAGAAAAAGAGTTAGTGCAAATAAGATATTATGCTATAAGGTCAAGGATCTGAAAATGCAGGTACAGGAGGCAGAAAAAGAGCTAGCATCTATAAAATCAGATTCTACTCACTAGCTTAGACATTTTTTTCAAAAATTTGATCCTATCTAGCTTGTATCCTGTAAGGATATTTTGGAGATACTGTTAAATCAAAGATAATAAAATTGTGATCAGATAAATAGTTAATGATATCTTTATATATACTATGTCAATTATAAGCATAAAGGTGAAGAATTCTACTCAATTCTTCTAAAATGGATATATTAAAAAGTACAACATAATTTAAGTTTTTTCTTATCAATTTCGGATAGTCAAAAAAGCTCTATATAATCTGTATAATGTATATATTAATATTTTTGTGACGTTCTTTAGTAAAATAAGGAATGACTTTCTTCTGAACTTTCTTTAAATCAGCACATGCATCTTTGAATATGATCACTGTATCTCTTTCTGGAGAGAATGAATCCAGCTTTGGGATTTTATCAGGTTTTATTACTCGAAATGCAATATCTTTATAATATAATTTTGGACTATTTGCAATAATTTGGTATGCTAATTAAAGATACCTATATTTTGGTTCCTTAAGGTGGTGACTAATAAGTACTAAATCAACATTTAAAATATATCTGGTCTCCTTTTTTTCATTAAACATTTAATATAGCTTGTTTCCCAATAATAGGTTCACAACTTCATTAGTTTTTCCTAAATTGGTCTATTCTGAAATCAGAAAGGTAAAAAGCCATTGGAAAACATTAGGATTGCTGTTATATTTTTTCACATCTTTAATCTCATCTATATGCAAAATAAATTTCTCGATTAGCTCAAGCTTTTTGATTTTCATATTAGCTAAACTAAGTATTATTAATAATATATTCCTTTTTTTTTATAAATTTGAAAAAGAAAACCTATTAGAATATGCTATCAGGATATGTTTTTTCCTGCAAATTAAAAGAGGATATTTATTCGAAAAAAGAAAAGCTATTTTCTGAAATTATTAACTGAAGAATGAAAATAGTTAGATATCTTCTGCAGTACTGAAGATGCAAAGGATGAGATAAAAAAAAATAGGATAGGCTATTTCTTACAGATCTTTAATCAAGAGAAAAGAAATCCTTTCTCAATTAGCATATACCTGATATAGGAAAAGAGATTAGCTATATAGAATACTGAGATAAGACATATATACCTTGTTTCTTGTATATATCCCATTTCTTCTGATCACATATTCTCTGTTCCTCTAAATCTATACTCTTTCTCCTATAAAACATTGAATTAAGAGTATAGTATTGCTGACTAGTGTTCTGCATAGATCAGATTAGATCAGATTTGGGCAAAATCTGATTCGATCAGAATCTGAAAAATCTGAATCTGATTTGATCTGAATTTGATAAATCCAAATCCAATTCAATTTGAATCTGACAAATCTGAATCTGAATTCGTATTTGAATCTGGCAAATCCAAATCTGTATCTAAATCTGTATCTGTATCCGATAGATTAAAAAAATTTTTAACAAAATTGCCTCCGCCGTTTAGAACGACGTTTTAATGTTAAAAATAACAAAATTGTTATTTTTTTAACAAAAATCTGCCTTTGACATTTGAAACGGCATTCACTAGTCGAACGATAACAAATAGAGAACCAATCAGATCAAATCTGGGTTACCAGATTTGATCTAATTGGTTTCCTATTTTTTTGTTTTTTAAAATCAGATGATCCCTTTTGATGATGAATAATAGCGCAGATAGGATATTATAAAGTTCCAATCAAGGTGTTATAAAGATATCAATAGGGTTATTCTTATTGATATCAATTTATTAACATTCAGTTTCCAATCGGGTTATCTCTAAGTCATTAATAGGGATATTCTTATTATTACTTATTATACAAATAGCATATCCCGATTGGTAACATTTTATTAAACCTTTATAATACAGGTAATTTTATAATTGTTTATTTTATACAAGTAAATAATCCTGATTAATTACAATAAAAAGAATTTTATTATTGATATGATTTACATTAATATAATACTTTAATTATAAGAAAAATACATTTATAACAATAAGTTTGCGATTGTTACAAATTTATTAAATTTAATTATTTATTATATTTGATAAGAAAAAAAGTCCACTTCTATTAAAAAAGAAAAACTACCATCCCGATTTGTAGACTTACATTAACCAATAGTAAAAAAGTCCACTTTTATTAAAAAAAAGAAAAATTAGTAAAAACCTGAAAAACCTACCATCCTGATTTGTAGACTTACATTAACCAATAGCAAAAAAGTACAACTCTATTAAAAAAAAATTAGTAAATATCTGAAACCTATCATAGAAATGCTACTTAACTTATTCAAAAGAAAGAAGATTTAGTGAAAAAATAAGTAAATAAACTGAAAAATACTCCTGAAAGAGTTCTGAAAAGCTATTTACTGTAACGGTTTGAATAAATTGGATTAGAAAGAACTATTTTTTTTAACACTTTAAACCAGTGTGGGGTAACACCATTGAAGTTGGTCGACAAAAAAGATCTAAATTGAATGTCATGATAATTAAATAGAAATCTGCCTGTGGCTACGATCTGAGAGAGGAAAAGGATGTTTTTTGAACAGATATTATGTATGTCTTTAGAATGCCAGGGCATGATATTTTGGAGAGGAATTAAACCTTCTTTAATTAGAAAAAGTTTTGTTATTCTTGGGGAACTAATGAATGAGAAATCTGATTCGTGGTAAAAAGTAAAGAAGTTAGAAAGAAAATTATGATG